ACGCCTGCGCGTTTTATGAGGAACTTATAGTGTGGGGTAGTTCTAAAAAAGGTAGGTTTCTTAAAAGAAATCGTGATAACTTTCTTGTGAACATATTTTTGTTTGTAAATGATGCAGTTTTTATAAAAAACTGAAGAGAGAAACGAATTTACAGTCACTCTATAGTAACTGGCTATTATCCATGTACACCCGCAGTTAACTTCAATCATAGTAGGCTACAGATGTGTTGTCACTTCTGAGGACTAAAATGCTGTTTCTCACAGCTTGTAATCGTAATGGTTCATTTTAAGAAAGGAATGCAGCAGTATCAAGCACTTCTAATTGCTAAATAAGCGAGAGTTGTACCTTTTTTTTACATGGGAAATGCGCTACGCATACTCGCCTTGCGGGGGCAAGGACTGATTATGTCGGACTCGCACCGACTAAAACCCCATGGTGTTCCACCTTTGTCGCATATTGGCAGGACCACGGGAATGATTTCGCACACATCTGCGGCTCCACCAGCGCTGACCGCCCATAGCGGCCTAGCCTCGGAAGAGGACTACTCCTCCCCCATCTACTTCTCGCCACGTGTTTCGCCGCGCGCCATGTGTTCTGGTAAGGCGCACCAGAACACATGGCGCGCCCTCCTCCGCGGCCTCCAATTTAAGCGAGAGTTGTACCTACCCAGACGGGCTTAGTTAGGAGAGGGTCCTACCACCTAGAAAACAAAACAAAAGTTTATTTATAGCATTATTTTATTTATCATTTTCGATTCGAGTTTAAAGTGAGAACGGAACGAGTCGATTGCAACGGTAACGCAGTCGGCATTTGAGGTGAACAAACGACCTCGGACACCAAACCGTTTATTCCTAATAACCAATAACCATACAGTACCAAACACATCCGCAAACCGATCGGCTTCATCGTGTTTCCCCCGTTTCGCTACCAAATTAGCACGAAGCATTATTGTCAGTTCGCATAAGAAAGTTGTCTAATTTGGCTTTATCTTATCACTAAGTGTTTCGGAACACAGAACTCTGAGCCCATTTGGGTAATTAATGGCTCTTTTATGTAAAAAAACTTCGACCATTCTTTTTCTCAGCGTTTATTAAATATAGGTTTATAGCTTTTTAATTAAAATTAAAATGTTCCTATATATATTTTTTTGCATAAAATGTATTATGAAATATACATACGTTTTGATTAAGAGTTCTCCAAGTTAATTTCTATCACAAACTGAGAAGTGTTTACTGTATTTTTTGGGCCATGTAACTGTAATTATAGCATAGAATTCTGATCGATGTTTTTTTCAACGCCGAGTAATGTGATAAATCAGCACTTAATTTTGGATTGCTCTTGTAGTATTGTGAAATTTAAGACGGACATCCAAACACCAGCTCTTTTTTATTGGGTGTCAATATTATGCGCTTTTTTCTAATGACCGGGTAACGTCTTGCTACTACGTCGCTGGTCCCGGGTTTGCATCCGGAGCTAACATATGCGAGATCGAACCATCATGTTGAAGTTTTTATTAGCATTCAAATTTTCTCCCATTTGAATTTAATTTTTTAAAATGAAACTCTAAATTTCTGTGTTTATAGAGACATAATTTTATTTATATAGGTACTAGCTGCACCCGGCATGAGTTGCAATTTCTCGTTTTTTTCAAAAAATAGCACGCGGGGGCGCGCGCTCATCAACTCATTAAATTTCATCGTAGTCGGATGAAGGGTATAGAAACACATCGAAGATGAACAAACAAACAAATAAAATATGCATTTTCATAATATACTGGATTATTAAGTGGCGAAGCTTGCGAAGTCACTTATTAAGTGGCGAAGCTTGCGAAGTCACTTATTGATTTCACGATGTCTGTCCGTCTGTCCGTCTGTCCCACGATTATCTCGAGAACGGTTTTGAATTTTCAAATTCTGTTTTCAGCAATCGATTACTGATCACCCAGGCATCTGAACCTCCTATTTTGAAACTGATTGCTCAACGGCAACCGTTAGAAACCGCTACAAAGCTGATTGCTTCGCCATTTTGCTATGCTGTTAGCTTGCTAGGTTTATTGATTTCACGATGTCTGTCCGTCTGTCCGTCTGTCCCACGATTATCTCGAGAACGGTTTTGAATTTTCAAATTCTGTTTTCAGCAATCGATTACTGATCACCCAGGCATCTGAACCTCCTATTTTGAAACTGATTGCTCAACGGCAACCGTTAGAAACCGCTACAAAGCTGATTTCTTCGCCACTTTGCTATGCTGTTAGCTTGCTAGGTTTATTTTAGTCCATTGTTACTTTTATGGGCAGTAACTTTAAAGAAAAGCATTACTAAAAGTAATTATCACAAAAAACTCAAAATATGCATGGTTATATATTAGCGTATAGTAGGTACGTGTGAGTAATATGGTCATCAGGTTAATATGGTTACTTTCTACGTCCAACTGCAGATAATAGACCTATTTAATTTTTGAAAGGGTAATGAAGGTAAAAGTAACAAGAAAAACTTGAATAAGAATGTAAAATTATAAACTATACCAAACCAACAAACACTGCATCCTGCTAACGAACAAGTCTTTGGCGACTGACTGACGGCTAAAATTCTTTAGTCGGATCCATATTACAGAAAGCTAAGGGGGAGAAACACCAATATAAAAGTCAAAAATGCAAATCTTTCGCGAAATAAGTCTTTTACTGCATTTTTGGAAAGGATAAAAGAAGTTAAAACTGATTACCTTTGGTTATGTGTTAATAGCTATTGAGTAAATGTAAGCCTTACTTGTATAGTAAGGTATCAAAACGTTACATATTTTTACAGAAACTATAAAGAAACATTTTATTTTTCTTAAAATTTAGGCTGCACATGAAATAATCTTAAGTTGTAAACATAAACATTTATTAAAAACTGGTTTTTGTAAAAATTACATCAACTGGGTCACCAAAAGTGCAGAAATGCAATTAGGAAGTCGGTGATTTAGACTGTAGTCTATGCTATATTAAATTAAATGCATAAATAACGTTAGCAACTTGATTTGTTGTTTTTGTAAACAAGAAGCTCTTAAAATCGTAAAATTCCAACATATAGAATAGAATAGAATATTTTTTTATTCAATATTGATTACTAGTCAATACTTATTGAAAGTCATTTTTTATTTACCACTGGTTCGGAAAACACCCCAGGCCTGGGAAGAACCAGCAAGAAACACAGCGGGACTTTTTTTTTTCAAACATATTTCACTTAACAATAACTTCGTTTATACAATTTTTAAATTATTTTTCATAGAACCAGCATGGTGGCGATCACCTTATTCCCAGGGGTTATTTTCATTCATGTATTCCTTGATATTATAATAACCCTTTTTGTACAGTTTTTGTTTAAAGTAATTATCTTTAAAGAAAAGTTTAGAGTAATTATTTCTATCATATGTTGACATTTTGGTGGTCAATCCCTCTATTTTATATTATAGTACTTACTTACTTACTTATCTTCACGCACAATCCCTGACGGGGTAGCCAGAGAGAACAGATCGCCAAGTGTCACGATCCTTAGATACCTCTTTCGCTTCTTTCAGATTCATTATTTTCATCATACATGCACGTCTAGGTATCCGAGTACTCTTGACCCTCCCCTCTTCGAGCAATTTGCTCACATGGTCTTCGAAAGTTAGTCTCGGTCTACGTCGACACCTTTTAATATTAACTTTCGCGCTATATATTTTCTTCACCATTCGGTCTTCACTGATTCGCTCAACGTGCCCAAACCATCGAAGCACGCCCTTATCAATTTTTGTGATAACGTCATCTTTCAAACCTGCCATATTGCGAATCTCTTCGTTACGCTTTCGGTAGGCCATGGTAACGCCGCACATTTTACGAAAGGATCGCATCTCCACTGCATTCAACTTGCTTTTATGCTTCTTCTCGCATACCCAGGTTTCGCTGCCATATAACAAAGTCGGTACCAACACTGCGTTATGTATTGCAAGGCGTGCACTCTTCACTACGCCTTGCCTTTTGACTAACGCAGTCAGGGCACCATTGACTTTGTTCCCGGCAGCGACACGCCTGTCCACATCTAAATCACATCTTCCGTCCCGGCTAAAAGCACTCCCCAAGTGTAAATATAATATTCTCACAGAAAACCAGCGTAAAATAGCAGCTTAACGCTGCTGTGTTTCGTATGGTGAGTGTAGAGAACCGGAGACCCTTTTTACTGGCAAAGAGGCATTCCATCTTAGTCCTCACGGGTGACAACGCATCTGCATCTTGAGTCTTTATTGAGGATAGATGTAGATGTCTATGGGTCACAGTAACCACTTACCATCAGGTGGACTTTGTGCTCGTTTGTCACCCGATCCTATAAAAAAAATTTATAGTGTAAGTTGTAATAAAATTAACGACAATTAACGTCTTAAAAGTTATATTTTATTTCAAAGGGACCCTTAAAATATCGTTTCATCACTTCATATCATATTTATTATATGAGTTCGCCTCTATTTTATTATAATAAAATATAAATATATGACATAGTTTTATGAAACCCATCCCTAAATATGAACAGAGAGTTAACATTGCAAGTATGTGACAGGTATCGTAAGATAATCTTTTAACATAATTGTAATATTTTATTAAATACTTTTATGCCTAGACGTAAGCCAATTTTAATTTTAATTGAGGTTTGCCCCTTTGCGGCGTCAGCGACGAATTGTAATACGTGATAGAGTCATGCTGCAACTATCGTAGTAGTATAGTTGTGTAGGACGAATGGTTAGCCTCGACCGGGGAAAGGCCACGCTCTCACAAAATACCAGTGTAAAGTAGCAACTTAACGCTGCGGTGTTTTCCTTTAATGAATAGATGAATGAAAGGAAAGCGTTTATAGGGTGATGTTTTTTTAAACTGTGGTTGTCAATCCGCAAAGCGTGTCATCTTGACATATCTATACCCAGAGATGGTCGATGGAAGATGAAATTATAAAGATGATTCGATGTTACAGGTATGCGAGGCAACTGAGATGGGTCAGACGGAGCAGCAGCGGAGAGCAAGTCCGCGTCGCTCGCCGGACCTGCCCGCGCTGCCGCCACCCATACAGCCCTACAGCGGCTTCCTCGGGAACGTGAGTACATTCACATTTCCTTTTTTAAGCCTAGGCATTCAACAAATTAATTACATTAAGGAAAATGCATATACTACAGGGTAGATGCACGCTGCAGCTTTATAATGAGCACTTAGCATTGGCGGCTTGACTGAAGAAGCACCACGCCCGCACCGTTAATTTTAGCAGTACCACCGTAAATTAGCAGTATAATTTATAATGCAACAGCGTTATGTACGATAAGTGACGAGATTCGGAGACCATTTTTGTTGGTAAGAAGGCATTACCCATTTTTACATCACTCCATCTTCAGGGTTGAAAACGCCTCTGCATTTTAATTCTTAATCATAGATAGATGCCACTGCATTCACGTTTTTTATTCTTGTATGTAAATAAAATAACATAACAACACGCCGGTCACCTAGAGGGGTAGGCAGAGACGGACTTCCATTCGGCACGATCCTGACACAACTCTGTCGCTTCTTTATCATCCGTGTCCACCGTCCAATGAGGCGAGCATTTAAATTTATATACCTACGCATACATTCTCGTCGGTTAAGGGTACTCTTAATCTGGCCCATCTTCAATATATCGCCAATTTGGTCGATAAACTTCCGACTAGGGCGTCCCTTGCCGACTCTGCTGTTTACTTCTGCAATATAAATTTGCTTTGTCACTCTTGTATAAAAATATAAGTACCTAATAATTACAATGTACCAAAAGTTGCAGTATGGGATATGATTTGAAAAGTAATATCTTTCCTTGTTCTGTGTCCATAAACCAAGAACCAATGTCTTTAATAATTAAAGGTGTTCCAAAAATATTTTAGAAAAGTTACGTTTAGAAACAGATCGATGAGAAAATATGCTTTTATTTATAGGATAGGGTGACAAACGAGCACACAGTCCACCAGATGGTAAGTGGTTACTGTGACCCATAGACATCTACTTCTATCCTCGTTTGCGAATCAAAATGCAGATCCGTTGTCACCCGTGAGGACTAAGATGGAAATCCTCTTTTCCAGTAAAAAGGGTCGCCGGTTCTCTAAACTCACCATACGAAATACATCAGTGTTAAGCTGCTATTTTACGCTGGTATTCTGTGAGAGCGTGGTCCTACCCCGGTCGAGCCGACCCATTCGTGGTACAACTATACTACTAATATAGCTGCAGTATGGCTCTACCACGTGTATTTACGTGCTTTTATTTTTATGAACGTACTCTCTACGTCTAGCTCAACGTGGAGAGGCAGTGTTGTTCCGTGGGTGTCGTAAGAGGAGACAGAGGGAGACAAACCTAGAGATGGACAGTAGCGTTTTTCTAATAAGAACTAGAAAATTAAAAACTGTGATTACCAACGCGCCTGCCAAGCGTTGCAAATACATCATAATACCCCTCATATGGAAAACGTCTCGCAATTCTACCAGTTGGTACATTCATGGTTGTTGCGAGTCTGGTTGACAACTTCTTTATTGAGTTATTGATTATAAAGAACATGAACAATTGCGGATGTAATTTAACTATTATTTCACCTTGATTAATATAATATGACTTCAAAGACATTCAAATATTAAATGTTTTAATCTCTTTGTCTGACATGGTGAACGTAACCATTATTAAGATATTTAATTGCCATGACCGTTTAAAATGCTACCTCACATGCAAAATGACGGTTCAGTGGCGCAGTGGCTTAGCAATGAGTTGCAGCGCTGGGAGTCGCGGGTTCGAATCCCGCACTGAATAAGTATTTGTATGGCCTACAAATAATTGTTCCTTGTGCAATTTATATTTGTAAACTGCCTCCATGATACCGAATATTCTACGAACTTCCTGGCCGAATAACCGAATATTAGGCAAAAGTGTTCGGCCAGGAAGGAAGTAGGCAGTGTTTATTCTTCAGGCCATCTATTCTCTGAAGGTAGGATTGTCTACGAGAAGAAAAGGAGTAAACTACTACTTGAAAATGAAGAAAAATTAGTCTTTCTGCACCATTATCCTCCACTTTAATTACGATAATTCAAGTGCATAGACATTTATGTGATAGTTCTTTTTTAATTTTTATAACATGGAAGAAAAAAATATTTTTATTTTACCAATTATCTGACTATAATAAATACTTCTTACTTAAGTATTCGGTGTTCGGCCGAATAGTACCTAGTTATTCGGTATTCAACTAAATAGAATAAAAGTAGCCGAATAGACCGAATAACGAATAATAGCCGAATATTCGTTGCAAGTCTAATTTTTTTTATATATTTTAAAATTATATAGTTTTTTCATTTTTTAACTAATTAGACGAGTTTCTTTACTGTCTTCGACACCGCCGAGGACGATGTAAATCAGCGTTTAAAATTGCAATTAACGATTTCATTGGTGCCGATGTATTGGTGGGATAGAAGTAGAACCCGTGTCGGTCACTTTCAGATCAGACAGGATGTTTTTACATATTATATCATGGTTTAAAAATAAGATAAGTTACCGACATTTTTAATTTATTCGCAACTTGTCGAGATAAGTTTTGTTCAAAATAAATGTTTAGGATCTAAATTCTTCATACTAATTGTAATTTTGTACAACTATTGCATTCCTTATTCGCTCAACAATTTGCTAAATCTAATTCGAGAAATATGAATGTGCATATCCTTCGCCGAACGGTAAATCCGGTCCTGTCGATCATCTTCCTAATTTCCATAACGGGGTCAATCCGATAGTGTCACGGTGCGAGGGCTCGTTCCATTTCACACGCGCGGTGCCGGACATTATCATAAAATTAACCGGCGCATGGCCATCTGTCTCGCTTTGTCGACTTTCCTCTGCCGACTTATGGTTCGGCCAGTATAAAAGCATTAACGGTATTGCGACGAAAGTGATGCTTAAATCAAATCGGTGCGCAATCGTTCTTGTTGTATTCGACGTGCCTTATAAGAAAAATACTCGGATGAAGAATAATGTCATGATATTTCTCAAACTCAAATAAACCTAGAAAACATTTTCCGATTCTTTCTTATATCGATTTTTACACGATACACTATCGCGTTCAAATATACATTTTTGGCTGTGAGTGTCAGAAAGAGAATGGACTATCACAGACGTTTTGGCCAAAGATTATTTTATGTAGAATGACATTTGCAATTAAGATGTAAGTTAAAAAAAAACATTTGAAAGTCATAACGTAAGGTGTGAAATTGCTTTCCAAGAATCTAGACGGTAAATAGAAATGGTAAACCTTTCTTGAAATATGTGTAAATAAATTTCATGCGTAGTCAGGTTTGGAACCTATAACCTGCAAATACTGCTAGCCGCTGATCCTCACAAGATACTGGAATTTTAATTTGATAATTAGGGACAGATTTCTTTTATACAAGATTGTGATCAAAGCCTCATCCGTCAGACAGCAGGATGCATATTGCACAATGTGCCGGTTAGGGTAACATTTTGTAAGTTTTGCGTATTCTTACATCGTAGTCAAAAACTATTTATTTTTAGTAGAAATCGGGCAGCATTGGGCAATATATTGGTATTGTATTTAATATTCCTGCCTTGAACAATGTTTAAGGTGATATGTAAAGATTGATCCAAAACATAACTTTGTGTGTAAAGATTGATCCGAATCATAACTTTGTGTGTAAAGATTTATCCAAAAGATAACTTTGTGTTAGTTATTAATATTAAAGGATAGTTGGACTCCTTATCTGTCTAGGCCCTTGTCTGGACACCACTATCATCCTCTTACCTACTTATGCTGCCAAGCAGTAGAACCTGCACTGCTGTGGTCCGTTATGAAAGGTACAGAGAACTAGAATGGTTACAGGCTATGAGGCATCCTATCTCGGGCTTCAAAGGTGAAAACGCACCTGTAACCTTTGTTTAAAGTTGGTTCTATAATGACTTCTTATATTTACGCGAACACTACACATTTAAATACAACTAATTTTACGCATTTTATCGCGTATATTAACTTACTTAGAGGAAGTCTGCACTCTGTGAATACGTACAGGATCGCCCCCATCCCTACATTAGATTTGATAGACCACAAATCTTCGCTAAAGAACACCAATTCCTTCCAAGGATGATTCGCGAGGCTATTGAAATCAAAAAACATCCTAATTTCTATAGAGAAGATGGCTGGGTGCTACCATCTGTTTGGGATCCCACAATTAATAAAATTAAATCCGAACCCAAGCATACAACTGCAAGACTTCAAGATACTGAAAGTTCAAACTGCGTAGATCGGAACAAAAATTAATAATTTTTATCTGAAGGTAGTCTGGAGGTAGACATTGGGACGTCATACACCTCAGTGCCCCCCGACACCATGGGTGCTGTAAAGTGCTCGAAACGTCGGTAATATAAAATAAGTTAATATACGCGATAAAATCCGTAAAACATGTTTTTTTTTTTAAAGTTGGTTGTAGGTGTCCATGGTTTGTGGCCGTTTAATATCAGATGGATTGCAAGTTCGTTTATTACTTTCATTTTATAAAAACAATTATCACGATAATTTAAAGTGCTAATATTAAATTTCTATATGATTTTCACTTAACTTCGAAGTTGTGGACGAGTCTTTAAAAATTGTAACTCTTAAATTCAATCTGATTGTATAACAACACGGTAAAATGCGAAAGGGGCAATTTATGCCGGCGATGCGATGGAGCGCCGTGCCGCGGGCGGGAAATTATTAGTGTACCCTTGCTGCAAATCGTGTCCGGACAGATTTAAATTTGTTACTTTGTAACTTGCTACTTATTAGACGAGAGCATGTTGAAGATTTTAATTGCTTATAAATTTTCCATTCGTACATGTGTGTGGCGGTGAGAATATCCACTACCCCATATCATACCGTGGGTGTTGTAAGAGGCGACAGAGGGAAAAAAATCAGGAGATGAGCTTGTCTACTTGCCAAGCGTGGCAACTATGGTAAATATCTATGGGGGAGGCCTATGTTCAGCGGTGGACTATAATAGGATGTAACGTGTAACAGGTTTCCATCCAGCCATACATTATAGTCCTTCACATGTACAC